CATTTCTCCCCTTTTCTCCCCATTTTTCCCCATTTTTCCCCATTTTTCCCCACTGGGCAGCCAGATCCCCCCCAGGACCCCCAGAGCAGCACCTTGGGCCGGGACCCCCAGGGGTGGCACCTGGGGACACCTGGGGACACTGGGGACACTGGGGACACCGGGGGACACCTGGGGTCACTGGGGACACTGGGGACACCTGGGGACACTGGGGACACTTGAGTGCCCCTGTCACCGTGCGCCCTTGGGGTGAAGCCACCCCTGGGCTGTGCCTGGTCACACCTGATGTCCCCAGTGTCCCCAGTGTCCCCAATGTCCTCAGAGTCCCCAAATGTCCCCCGTGTCCCCGATGTCCTCAATGTCCCCAGTGTCCCCAGTGTCCCAGGTGTCCCCTGTGTCCCCTGTCCCCAGATCCACTTGCAGCTCCTCTGCGCTCTGGGGGTCCCTGATGTCCCCAATGTTCCCAGTGTCCCTGGTGTCCCCAGTGTCCCCTGTGTCCCTGGTGTCCCCAGTGTCCCCAGTGTCCCCTGTGTCCCCTGTCCCCAGATCCACTCGCAGCTGCTCCAGGCTCTCGGGGTCCCTGATGTCCCCAGTGTCCCCTGTGTCCCCTGTGTCCCCTGTGTCCCCTGTCCCCAGATCCACTCGCAGCTGCTCCGTGCTCTGGGGGTCCCTGATGTCCCCAATGTCCCCAATGTCCCCAGTGTCCCCAGTGTCCCCTGTGTCCCCTGTCCCCACATCCACTCGCAGCTGTTCTAGGCTCTCGGGGTCCCTGATGTCCCCAGTGTCCCCAATGTCCCCAATGTCCCCAGTGTCCCCTGTGTCCCCTGTGTCCCCTGTGTCCCCTGTCCCCAGATCCACTCGCAGCTGCTCCGTGCTCTGGGGGTCCCCGATGTCCCCAGTGTCCCCAGTGTCCTCAATGTCCCCTGTGTCCCCTGTCCCCAGATCCACTCGCAGCTGCTCCGTGCTCTGGGGGTCCCCGATGTCCCCAGTGTCCCTGATGTCCCCAGTGTCCCCTGTGTCCCCTGTCCCCAGATCCACTCGCAGCTGCTCCGTGCTCTGGGGGTCCCCGATGTCCCCAATGTCCCCAGTGTCCCCTGTGTCCCCTGTCCCCAGTGTCCTCAATGTCCCCTGTGTCCCCTGTCCCCAGATCCACTCGCAGCTGCTCCGCGCTCTGGGGGTGCCGCTGGAGCCGCTGGAGCCGCAGGGGGAGATGAGATTCCAGTGGGACCCGCAGGGCTGGACCAGGAGCGCCCAGAGCTTCGGTGAGGGGACACGCCTGGGGACACCGGGGACACCTGGGGACAGCCGGGGGACACTGGGGGACGCCCAGGGGGACAGAGACA